ATATATATGTGGCTATTTGACGTTGGTTCCCATTAACTAGGCCTATTGTATAATAGTCCTATACGCAATGCAATATTAAATTGATTGTAGCGTGCCAGGAAAGTAGCTTATACCGAGAATACGTTCAAAGCAGAATTAATCTTTTCCATAGGTCGAAGAGATATCAATCTTCAAACACCCTACCACATAATTTTTCGAAATTGGATGAGTTGAGGGCAGGTATTGGTAGCAAGAAGCGTCGCAAAATATAAGCTACTTTACTATGGAGTTTTTATATTGTTTCTTCCCTGAGGAGGCCGTCAAGGTAAGTGGAATGAATACAATACCATTTTTTTTTCGGACCAAACCCGCTGTAATGATTTAGTTTAAATTCCGATGTCTGTAAAATGTGTGGTGCCGTGAGTTATCTACTACTTGATAAATTCATATTACGGATATTATTATATTATTATTGCCCATGGGTTAATAATTTACATTTATTGTTGAATTAGTTCACTCAATCTTTAAAAATAAAATAGTCTATGCTTCAGGTCTCATATCAATTAGGTTGGCCAATCACCTTTTTAATTACTCTATGGTAAATACAGGCGCACATCTGAAGCATGTGATTGTGGCTAATAGAGTGAGTGTTATTATGAACTCGTATTCTTGACATACATAATTCTCTTATCTGAAAAAAACTACAGTATAGACCTAATTTAATTAAATAATATACAAAATTCATATACAGTAGTAAGAAAACATTATGATAAAAAAAATAATCAAATTATGATTTACAAAGCATCTAAACCAAACCGAAATCAAAACAACATTGGGTTTTGGTATTTTAGCAGTTACAACATAATATAAAATATACATTTCATAACTATATATTACATTTTCATATTTTTACTTGTCTTTTTTAATTTCTTATTCTTTTTCTTAGTGTCACATAACCTTTTATGGGTTTTTTTAATCTCATTTTTTATTAAGTTGTAATTGTAATCCAGGGAAAATGGTAAATTACACGCAGTATGGCCATCACTGCCAAGCTCACTGATCCGTTGCTTTTTTGATCCGGGTTGGACATGATCCGAGTTGAGTTTCTGAGTTGGAATTCCGGGTCCAAGTTTTTTGGTTTTGGTCCAAAATTTCTGGGCAGTGATGGTTTTTCCCGAGTTGGATTATTTAGTCCAACCATGGAGGCAGTGGCGTAACGAAGGGGCAGGAGATCCCTGGGCAGGGGCCATTTAGGGGCACAGACGTTGGGGACCAGGGGACGCGAAGGGGTCCGGGGTAATATTGATGTATATGTTGTTGTTATGATGATGATGATGATGATGATGGTGATGATGATGCAATGAAGATGGTAATGATGACGACAATGATGGTGTTTAGCGTTGTTTTTTTTTTTGAGAAAAACAGCAATGACATCACTACATTTATCTTGTAATTATTATTCTTTACGATCAGAATATGGACGAACAGGATAATTTTATCAGTTCACCGAAATCAAAAGAGGAGGATGAGAAAGGTGGCCCATTGGAGCAACAGGAACATGACACCAGCATGAAATTTCGAATCAAAGAAGAAGTTTACCTGAAACCCGATGATGACAGCCGCATTCATTACAAAACATCAATGACAATACCAGCAAACCCAGAGATCGACGAAACCATGTATAAATCTGAAGTATATTTCATTCCAAAGTCAAACGATACATCCGAATACTCCACAACCTTGTATATTTATCCAAAACCTGAGAACGAGCCTGAAGAAGCGTTCATTGCTCTTGATGAGGACTTAGTTGACTCGGTGGCAAAAACACCGATTATTATCGACATGCCGATGGGAAAGGGGTTGGATGAGGAATGGACATGGTCAAGGAAGATGTACGCAGCACTCGCACAGCATTAATAGGATTTTCAAAATGTCAAATTATTATCTCGAGATGTTGTTCAACATGTTTGATTTTAATAAAACAATTGCAGAGGCAAACATCGGTTGGCATAATCGGTAAAACAGTTAAAAATCTTTAGATGAATGTGTTGTAAGGACGCTTGGGATGATATAAAATTAAATATATTAATATCATTAATTGTATTATTATTATTATTATTATTATTATTATTATTATTATTATTATTATTTGCCATTGTTAGTATTTTGATGAAAATTCATCTCTCCACGATGCTTTAATTTAAAAATTAAATTTAATCATATTATGTATTAATATCATTATATATTAATATTATATATTGAATGTCATATATTATTGTTATTGTCACTGATGTTGCTGTTAATGTTACTGCTGCTGCCGTTGTCGTTCGTCGTCGTAGTTTTTATCGTCGTTGATATTTGTGTACAATAATTCCGTGTGTCAGAGCGGATCGACTGTGGAAATGCACATTGTGTTGACCGACGTTGTCCGCTTTTGGTTTTAAAGAAGTTTTTTTAAATTAAAATGAAACATTGTTTAAGATACCATTAAATTGATAACTTATGCGGTTTCTTTAAACGAGAAATTCAAAGTTGAATACAGTATAATGTTCTTTTTCCTAACATTAAGATATGCGTCATCCCATAATTGTTTTTGTACTTTACAATAGTTTTAACATTTGATTCCCTTTTAAGAATCCACTGGCATGATATTTTCCGTCTGATTTAGAATTACAATCAGATTTTGTATAGTGACAACGCTAAATACGTAATATCTGTAGTGAAGCCTGATCAGGCCTTGTATGTGGTCGCATGTCAACCGGCCTGTGCAGGTTATAATTGTATAACACTTACTGATAAATGGCCGTACTACTAACTGCTAACTATTAACGCATATAGCTTAATATAGGACACAATATTGTAGGCCTATACATAAAGTAGTCCTATGCATATATTATTCATTGAGGTCTATTACCTGCATGAACTATAACGAAAATACTAATTTAAATTGTTCTCAATGTTCATGATACCGGGTAGGAGTTCCCCCTGTTGATACTTAACCATGTGTCTTTTCAGTGAATAATTTATTAAGTCTGTGGACTTTTCTAGCCTCATTGTGTAAATAGCATTTGATGAGGCCATAAGGATATATGCTCCAGCGTTTGTTAATAATTAGTATTTGAACTGATTTAGGTCTAAATCGAGTTCATAAATTCCTAACCACTCAGTGGCGGGTTCAAGAGGGGTGGGGCAGCCCCCCGCCCGCAATTGTTCAATATTTTTTTTTTAAATGAAGATACAGTATAAAGAAAATTATATTCAAAGTTTAAGCCGCGCCTGAGAGTGCAATTTCCGGCCATCTAGAGGTGCCATAAAATTTTCTTACTCACCTCACCCCCAACCATGGTGGGGCTGAGGTGAGAAATAATCCATTTGTGAATATACCTCCCCGGGCCCCCTATATTTTGAATTTCTGGATCCGCCACTGACTATCACTTTAACCGAAAGGTCCACTGGTTAATCTCACATAAGAAAGTATAATACATCTCCAATTGAAATATACGCCGTCGTGTTGGGATTCAATATTTCGAGATTAATTATGTCTTCATGAATTAATGTCGAAATATTGAATCCCAACACGATGACGTGTATTTCAATACTTTGGAGTATGTATTATACTTTCCTATCACTTTAAGTTATTGAAAGACAACCAGGGTTGTTACCTTGTACAGTACCTTGTAACCTTTAGTTATTAATGATATTTTATTATCAATCACTGGACCATTACCCTGGAGCGCCTCTGTTTATATTCTAATAAATAAACAAAAAACACCATGGTGTTTTGATTCAATGAGAGGGTATTGTTGTGTTGTGATTCAATGCCGTGTTTTCTAGCTGAATTCATCTCATACCTCCGTCGAAAAGTTTCAAGAACGTTATATTAATGGGATATACTTTAAGCATGCTGTTTTAAAACTGATTTTATTTCATCACTATTAACAACATAGTATAATACAGCTATGCTTACAAGTATAAAAGTAAGACTTTAATGCGAGAATTGAGGCCCCAAAAGATCAATTTACATAAAAATACGTGAGTATTATAAGTTGAAATGATAAAAAAAAACAGGACTCCTAATTTAGGAAATGTTAAAAAATATTCTCAACAATACAATTATATTTAGATACGATTATTGTGTTTCCCCGTAAACGACAAAATATATATATTTGGCCCATTAATGACTTTGAATAGTAGGATATTTCAAATTCAGAGAAGGAACTAACTAGCTATAACTTGAGCTATACCCTCTGACGTATCTCTGTATGTAGTAAGCCATTGATATTGTACAAAAGTGCTTGTTAAATACGGTCCTTCATAACGCGTCAGAATGCAGGGGTCTTCAAAAAGATATACGCCCTCACAAATCCTTGACCGCTTGCTCGTTTAATGCACGGTACAGACAGCATTAGAGTATAATTACAAATAATCAGGGGTGGCGCCAGGACCTGCCCGACGGAGGGGCTAAAGGC